ATTCTGCCAATCTGAAATTGCACAATTAGGAGGCACAAAGCTGATTTTAAAAAAACCCACAATGTTGCAACCAGTCACTGCAAATTGTTACCACTAAATCTAAGAATGAAGCATCAGTGAAGTGTGCCATGGAACATCAAGTTAAATTCTTCATAAATTAATAAAAATGATACATGACATGAATTTATGTATTGGATTTTCTTACAGTAAAAAGAATGATTTTAAAAGATACCTTTTTATTTCAACTGCTACTTTCCCTGCTATTTTATAATAGTGAATGATAATGAAGTTGTCATTTTACCTACAGGATAATAAATTTCCTTGCTATGAATACAAGGCTATTGCTCACTCACAGGGCCCTGATTATGTTGTGCTAGGAGAGCATGACAAGTGCTTTATGAATGGCACAGTCCTGAAAGTGAACTCAGTCAGTGCTCATTAGAGGGTCAACCTCCTAGAATTTGAAAAAGTGAACTTCATGCGTGGGGGTATTCTCTAATTTTTCACACTCACCGTATAAGTAACACCTACACATCAAGGTCTCCCAGCATAGTTCTGCTTCTTCATTTCAGTTAAAGCAGTGATCTTTCACTTCAGGAAAAGCAGTGACACATGACATATGTGGAAACTTACTCACATAATTTGACCATCTTTCATACACAGTCCCATGCTGAGAAACACCTGCCTGTCACCCCAGCTGGAGACAAATCCATCCCTACGAATTCCTGCACTCAGGTCTTTTATTATTCAGAGGAAAAACACAGAATTAGTGTTAGAAATGTCAATGTGTTTGTGGTAGATGCAGATGGCAATCTTATTTTGTCCTTGTTTCTCTGGATGCCCTATTTCAGTCTGGACTATAACAGCTCATTTCTGATGGGTTTTACACATTTCAGTGCCTGAATAGTCACAGGGCAGTGACCTTCTCTCACATTACAACCTGCACATATCCATGCAGCTTGGACTGAGACCAGTTTTTAAGCCTAAATTTCTTCCTGTGTGTTATGTAACAATCTCCACAGATTTATACTATCAAATCAAGAGTTTTTCTCAATCATTTTGACTCTTCAATATTGACACAATATTTATCCACGTTCTTTCACTCTAGATACTAGTTCTTAAACTTCCATTCTGACTTGCATAACCATGTGAACACTTCTGTGTTTTAAGTTTAATATTTTATATGTCTGTATTTTCAGCTTCCATTTCTGTCTATTCTTTCCTCTTCATGCAGAAGATCCACAGCTCTGATGGGGCACTCTACTCATCATCTTCCTCTCCCATCACAGCTAGGGGACACAGGACAATGTATGAAACTGATTTGTTATACAAAGGAAAAGCAGGTAACTGTGCAAGGGAGCAGTCCAATTTTCATTTTCAAAGCTTGCTGTTAAAGCAACAAATGTTCAAAGGAAGTAGGAATTGGCATGACATTAATTCTGATGTGTGTTCTCTTTTGGGCAGGAAAACTAACCCTGGACCCGATGGGGTAATTCCTCTCTGGCACAGCACTGACCTCACTCAAATACACCAAAAATGAGTTGGAGGCACAGACTAGAAACGTGACTGGATTCCTCTCAAAGTGAGGTAGCCAAGCAGGGTCAGAAACGCTTCCCTTTGTTTGAGCTGAGCTCCAAGCAGTGATCAGCCTTCACCTGATGTGAGCTGACAGCCCCCAAGGAGTGATCTGGGTGTACAACACCCCAGCCACAGCCCAGAGCAGGCCCATCAGCACACAGACACTGAACTTTGCCAGAAAAAATGTCAATGGACTCTTCAAGGTCACTGTACTGAAAGAAATCTTTGCTTTGGTGCCTTTGGGCATCTGCCTCAACAAAGGCTGCAAGGCTTTTTAAGTTCAGGTGTTTACACCCAGTTTACTTCATCAAGCACTGGGAAAATCCATTCTATTCTCACCTTTTGGAAGGAAATGATGATCCAGCTCCTACCTAAAATCCATCTGGCTCCCAGCATCTCTTTATCTGATGGGATGGACGGCTGATACTGGTCTGCAGAGAAGATTCAGAGCTGGGCAAACAGGCACCAGAGTTGTTTGGGAGGGAGCCAGTCCTCCATCCTATCCCCTCTGGTGCATCAGAGCTGCCCTACCAACACTGCCCCACTTCTGGCACTTCCAACCCACTGCTGGTCCCACCAGAACCTGGCCAGAATCTGTTTCTACTCCCTTTGGGCTCATCAGCCAGGCACAGAAACACTTCACCATGACAGCATCCAATCATTCATTACTCCACTCTCGTGGTCACCAAACCTGCACTTCATGCAAAAAGCAAATGCCCTCATAATTACATGATCCTTTACACCTGAATCCCACATGGATCTCTGTGCTATGGCTGGGTGAGAAATACATTTCTTAATGCCATGGCAAATCTCAAGGTTAAAGAAATCAGTGAGAAAGATTGGATATATATAGCTTCATTCTCTTGGGAAATCATCTATTCTATACCAAGCTTATCTATTTGGAATGCTTATGTGTTAAATATGCTTTTTTAAAAAATTCCTGCTCAGATAGATCCTTGGTGAGAGAGGATAATGGTCTGATCTCCTAATCAGAGCCACTGAGGAAGATATTGGTACCCAGGCAAAAAACATTTGGTTTCAATGCCATTTTTCATTAGTATTGACTTCTACAGATCTATCAGCAGAAATTGAAAATTGGGGAGTTACCTAAAATTGGTGGCTTTTATTTTCATGGCACAGTCTACATGGCTTAAAGGAAACATAGCTAAAGGAATATTTTTCACAAATTAGTCTTTAACATTACATGAGATATTCCAGTCAGAGCTGCACTTTGTGGGGAGTTAATTTATCAAATGAGGTTAACTACTTAGCCATATTAACAAAGTATTCCTTTTATTTTTCCTTTCAATATGGTGAACAGGAAAGCAGTTTCAAAACCAAAATCCTAATGCTACATAAATTGGAAATAAAATTTGGAAATAAACATCCTTTTACAATGGCTCTATTTTATTACACGCCCAAGTGCATTTTAAGCACACAAAAGCCTCCAAGTTCTCATATAATATAAGCAAAAAATGGAATTCATATTTTCATGAGCTAAAACCCACCTTATAATCTCCAGACCTCTGAACTACAAGAAAAAAGCCTGATCATCTCAATTTCATATACTCTGAATATTACATATAATCAAGATTTTCAGAACAGAGTGGTTTCTTTCTTCAGATAACACTGAGGCTGTTCAGCAGCTTTCTCTTATATATTTTAGGAGTCTCACCCTGAATACTGTGAGTTTGACCCAAAGTCTCTGACTAGTTTTAAGAATCTATATTCTCAAAAAAAAAAAATACAGGGACAATTTCTTCCCACCTGAAAGACCAATTATCTGAATAGCTGGCCTTTCTATATACCAACACCTAAAAATGTGGATAATTCAAAGTTTACCTGCCAGTAAATGATCCCATCCCAGCCTCTGAGGTTCTGTCTAGCTATTTTTTTCCTTCCTTGCCTTTTTCTTTCTTCCCATTATGCTTTAATGCCCTGGGATCTCCATTACTGCATCAGCAGCTTGAGAGGCATATGCTACAGCTTACTGGCAGAACCAATTATAAATAAGAAAGAAAAGCAAACAAAAAAGCAAAAACTAACATAATTCCGAGCCATTCAGTGCAATGTACATTATAAACATCTTCATATTCCACTTTAATTTCTGGCAACAGTATAGCTATGCAAAAAAACATTGTATAACTCACTCTGCTTTCACAAAATGCCTCTTACTGAATTCCAGCCCACAGTGCCTTCTGTACAAACACCCTCACAAACTTCAAAAATCATAGAGCACAAACAAATAAAATGTGCTTCTTAATCAAAGTATGTAGAATCTACTTACATTAACGGCCAAGACTCTCTTTTTATTGCACTATGTTATAAAAATACAAAGTAAACTAATTTTGCAAATAAGCTGTTTTATTCACTCAACATTCTATAAAGTGTTATAAAAATCAACCTTTCATTGCACACTTCCACAAACCATGATATTTATTTGTTTCCAGAAATCACTGCTTTGAGTTTATATTATTTCATGGTCAAAAAAAAAAAAAAAAAGTAGTTACTTAATATTCTGCTATCATTTTTGGCAATGTGATTTTACTATGTGAAAATGTAGAAGTAGATGGAATGACAGAGTCATCACTCAGGCATCTCAAATTCTGTGTCAAGGCTTGATAAAGGTAACACAACTTGAGAGCTGTTCTTTTGCATACAAAAGGCAGACATACTTGCATATTCCATCTGAGTAGGTAAATTCTGCAAGGTGCTACTGACTAAAAAATACCAGTTTGTGTTGAGACCAGCAGGGACACTGATAACAGCCCTGAGCATTAATCTCACAGGTACAGCAATGAGGACACACACCACACACCTGGGTATGAAAGCAATGCTAAAATCTGCCCTTATACAGAAAAATATTATTTTCCACACCTTGCTAAAACCCCCAAAAGCATCTGTTTCAAATATCTTAACTTGTGCTTGCTCACACTGTATGCAAGCAGTTAAGATGCTTGGATGTGAAACGTTCCCTGAATTGAATATAGTTCCTCTGGATAGGGAATCACATTCATTTTCTATTTGTCTCAGAATACCAAATCACAGCATGTGTGATAAGAGTATGCTGCATATTAACTCATGTAAACTGCAAATGGAAAACACAGGGAATTTGTGTTCGTCTTATTTGCTCTAAGTATAAAATATTAAAGCTCTTCTTATTTCCCCTCTAGTGGATTAATACACTACAAGATGTTTCAGCTGCTGAGAACATGAAATGAGACTGCACAAAAAAAAAAACAAGCAGTATCCAAAATTATTTCAGAATCCTCAGTGTACAGGCTGAAAACACCAAATGTTTGGGAAGCCCTTGCCAAGTATTTTATTTACTTTTTTAAGGATAGGGGCATCAGCAGTTTTCATAGCAAGTTCACCAAACAGCCAGACCCATCCACCTCTCCTTGGGCTCCCTCCCACTGGTATCAGGACTGAGCTACACAAAAGCAAAGTGAGGCTACAAGAGGCATTAATTAAAAACTGGAAATGCACTGAGAGCTCAGACAAACCCTCAACATGCCACGTACCTGTGCTAAGAGCACTGGGTATTGTATTGCTCTGTCACCAGCACGGTCAGGGAAGAACACCCTCAAATGGGAGAAAATTAACAGATCTCTGCAAAACGACTGAAAAAATAAAAATTCTCTTCAATTAGTGCCTCAAAGCATCACACTGCACATCTACAGCACTGCATGGCAAAGGCAGGCACTCCAGTATTTGATATCATAGATAGTAACAGTCAGGAAAGGACCTTCTTCCAAAGACCATGCTTTGAAATTCCACTCAATCCCATCAAATAATCCAGGACTGATCAGACAAGGTGGTGTTACACTGTCTGAACACTTGAGAAGTGTTCCAAAAACATTAAAGGCAGCACACATTTAAAAGAAAAATAAAGACCAAGACTTCATTTTCAAAGGCTTGCTGGAAAATAAATCAAAGAGAAGCAGCTTAGATAAAACCCCATTTTTTTTAACTAAATGGATTAGGCAGATAAGGAAGCATACACTACATACATACATACATACATACATACACTACAGCAAAACTGTTGTTCTACACCTTTATTCTAATTAAATTTCTTAAATTAAGCCCTTGCATTAATTCCAGCCTGTGAAATTTATAAAAGTATGTCTGCATTAATCCAACATTCATAATAGGTATAAAGTTAATTATTGATTATATCACTTGTACATAAACATTAATATTCTGCCCTGTGGGCTTCCTTAACATTGAACCAAGAGACTCCTCCCAGTTTAAAAAAAATACACTATTGCTTGCAATAAACTATGTTGAGAAATTGAAAAAATAGACTAAACAGAAATAATTGATCTTCTGACACCAAATCTTTTCGGAAATTCCAGGAATAATGACCAAATTCTGCTCACCTTGCTTCTTTGGATCAGTACCCTGGTAAGTAATTGTGGTAAAGTCAACCCTGTTGAAAAAAACAGTCCAGTAAGGCCAGTAAGACTGAGGGACAACATAATCTTTTTTGCAAATCCATGCAGGGGTACATTTTCTCCAATATGACAAGTGTGTATGAGCAACAGTAGAAATAACCAGCAGCAGTGGGATTAGAATTGGGAAAAAACAAAGGCTTAACAGCACCACAGTTTTAGTAAACATGCAGTCTAATTTAGGTATTTTTAAAGCCGTTGCTTCCCAAATGAGTATTCATTATTCTTAGGCGCTTCCTAGGCTCAAACATGCACGTTCAAGTATAAGTTTGTGCATGTGGCTTTAGTCCTTGTCATCCTTAATAGTTTAAAACACTGTAGGACAGCAGAATTACACGTTTGGTAAGTAACCAACAGGTAAAGAATGCTGGATGGCTCCTGCAAGGTCAGAGACATTCTGTGCTTAGATATTGCCTGTTTTATTTTGTAGACAGGTAATAACCAATTCTGATTCTTTGTCTATAATTTCTTATTCATCCAACTTCAGAATTGGATTCAAATAAACTTCAGAAGTTTATTTCAAAACTTTCAAGATTATCACCTTCCTACACTGCTACTTTTGAGGGAATTTCCTGGACCAGACATTAGAGAGACAGAAGATGGGGAAAAAAATCTGTTTCTATTCAATCAAGCTATATAACTGAAAACCTGCCGCTTACATGTACTCAGAAGTGAATACTTTGAATTTAACAGATGATGTCTCCTTACACTTTATCCATCTGGATCTGAGCAGGACTTCTCCATCACTTTCAGCTCTTTATTATGGTCTTCTGTTCTAGGAATAATAATTGAAACTTGAGGGAGGTGAGTTGAGAACTGAATGGGGAACAAAAGGCATGACTGAGATCAGAGAGAGAAAAGAGGGGGATTAACCTGGTGGTTGGTAAATTAAAGGGGAGCTTAAGAAGTGATAAGGAAGCAGAATGGAGACAGAAAACTAGTGGGAATAGCTAAGAAAAAGGTGGTGAGGGATGGGAAAAATCATCATACTCAAAAAAGATGTGAGAAGGTGAATGCAGGGGATTGGAGAAGATGGTGTCAGTGGGAGAAAAAACAGGCAGATGGTTAAAACCACCCAAAACTACCACTGCATTGGTATCCAAGAAATTTTTAACATTACTATAATATGTAATAGACAACAAATATGTTTTTGTTCTATATTTGAGACACTAACTTGTGCTAGTGGAAACCCTATCTCAAATTTTGTAGATTCAGAGCTCCAAAACACACCTTACTTTGTTTTGAACACTAATACTACAAGGCTGTTTTCCAAACTCAGGTCCCAGGCATGTTGAAATGAGATTTTTTTTCTTGTCACTCACTCTTCTGGACTGGTGTGACACTGCTGAAATGTTACTGAGTGGCAAAGGGAAAGAACATCTCCCACACTGAGCTGCTTGGCTGGGACAGCCACACAGAGGTGCCTGAGTGCCACAGATCACTGCTCCCAGCACAAGCCCTGAAATCTGAACTGCTCCTTGGAGAACACAGACCAGACTTTTCTATAGCATTTAACAGCTTTGAAAGCCAGAATGAGCCATGCAATTATCCTGCCTTCCTTTCCACTCAACAAAAGCCACAGTGAGATCCCAAAGTGTGCTGATCCGGTGACAACCTCCTAGAGAAATCCCATGACTGGGGACCAAGGACTCTACAAAAGACCTCAAAAGAAAAGAACATTAATTTCTATGACTTAAAAAAAAAACACCTTATGGCTTGAAGGACAAATCTCCTCATACAAACTTTCCACCATATTATACCTGTGAAATCCTAGAGATGGTGTCTGAGAGTTCTTGCTAAATGAAATGATGGCTACCTTTTGAATATTTACAATGAAAATAATTTAACAACTCAGAAACACAGGGAGAAATTTAGAGGAACTGTTTCTATGGAAGAATGAAACACTTTCTCTGTGAGGGTGACCATGCAGTGGCACAGATTGCCCAGAGAGGTTGAGGAATCTCCATCCCTGGAAGGTGTGCAACAGCAATCTGAGCACAGCCCTGCTGGGAGGCTGCTTTTAGGTGACCCTGCTTGAGCAGGGAGGTTGGAATAAATGGCCTCCAGTGGTTTCTTCTGTAATACCTGAGATTTAACCTTTCTCCACCTACTGCTGCAAGAACTGAGGTCAGCTGCAGTGCCTCCTTTCACACCTCCAGACTGAAATACTTTCCTGAAAGAGAAGTGAGGCAGTGCAAAGCATTTGGTAATTTTCTCACATAATTATTTACATCTAAGTTTATCTAGATGTATCATATGCATCAATATTCAAATGAATACTTGCACAACCTTTTGAAGATATAAGGCATTTGTGTGTTTGCATATTCGCACAGGTACTATTTTTCCTGGATGATAAAAACAATTCACTGCCTTTTTTAGGGTTAGCACTCAAAATCCAGCTCCCACATACTTTTTATTCATCTGCCTTGATTGTGCTTTAGCTTTTTTATGGACTCTTTAAAATACATACTAATAAAACCTTATTGGCTTTTTATTATCAACTGTCTCAACATACAAATATTGCAGGGCTGCAGGGATTTTCTGGTCACTGTGAGCATGACTCTAGATTAAGGAGCAATCAATGCATTTGTTATACTGTCTCTGGCAATTGATGCTTCTGAAAAGCTAGCACATTTTTAGTATCATTCAGGCAATTTGCAAACACACTTCTGCCTTTAAAGGTGCTCTGTTTATTCCAGCACAACACAGGAATGAAGTCAATCTGGATAAGCTGCTATGATTTACTAACACCTTCCTCTAGCTGATGTTCCACAGCTGGTTGGGCAAAAACTCAATGTTAGAAGCTCGCTGGATACTTAGTACTTAACTTGCTATAAATCCCTTGAAGTCAATAGGTAGGATTTGAAAATCAATGGAAGGATATGGCTCAAAAGTGCTTTTTTGCAAAGCTATAATGGTACAAATGTTATCACTGAGCACTCACTTACATGTAAGACCTGAACATTGAAATAAAAGCCTACAAAAGATCTACAAGTGTAAGATGACATTGAAATCAATGAATTTAAGTCCCTAAATAGCTCATCTGATTCATCTCACCAACAAGAACATCTGATTGTGTCTACAATAGACAGACATTTACAATAGCAATGCTTTTCTAGTGGAGCACTTTGAAGTGTGCTAGTTCAGAAGTGGTTACAAAAGGACATTAGTGAGAAAACAAGATATTTTATTTTGGAATCACAGGGTTGAGAAATTATCCATGAGAGATATTGCTTCCACCAGATTTCACTGATTTTGCTGAGTACACTTTGGTTGCATTAGTGGTGGGTGTGGTGGAACATTCTAAGGATGAGGAAGGAGTTATTAAATTCACCTGATAGAGTTAACAAAGGTGTTAGTCTCTCTCTTGGTCTCCTAATGGCATCTGACCCTTTATCACTGAATACCAGCAAAGGCTCCACAGTGAGGCAGCACTCTAAAGAAATTGTCTCACTTAGTGAGCTGTTAGAAGCGTGGTCCCTGTCACAAATACAATTCAAGTGTATCACACACAGTACATCCCCAAGTCCCCAAAATAAACATACAATTCAAGTGTGGATATTCCAACCACTTAAATCTCACAATAATAAACACTACCCAGACAAGGGGTACATCATAAACAGTGTTACTCTCCAGAAGTCAAATTCTCTCTGTACTGAACACAACTGATGCCAGCATTAGAAAAAGAATCATCATCAACTTTTGCTGATCAGATGCCAAGGAAAGCCAGGAGATAATGGTGCCTGAGTCCATGCAGTCCCACTGCTTGGTGCTGGACAAATTCCCACTGCAGAGGCTGCTGGAGCTCTGCCTGGTCAGGCTCAGGGGGCTCCTGCCCATTGCTCAATCATAACTTAGGAAGAAATGCAGCAGCAGCACAACTGTGTGTACCCAGTCCTGGGCCATTGCTTGAAGAGACCCCTTTGTAAGGACTTTGGAAACAGAAACCCAGATGTGTAAACACCTCATTTCTTGCTATGTGAACTTTAAAAATTTTTCACCCGATTGTGCACTCAGAAATTTTCCTGAAGGCAATTTTTAAACATAAATACATACGCTTTTCCCCATTTTTATTGCAACCTGAAATGTTCCTGTAATGTTTACATGGCAAACTGGATATCAATACATTTAACATTTCCATAAAATAAATTATATTAAAATTCTAAGGTTCTATATAAAATTAATTATTTAAGGTCTAAACCTAGAATCATTTGAGATTATAAAACCCAAAGAGGTTTCAACTGTTTATATTATTAAGACCTGCAGTTCTCAAATGGTTATAGCATCCCCTCAGAGGACACTGAACCTCCAGATTCTTTCACTTTTAGATTACTTTGGCCAACAGGCAATGGTGTGATTAGAGCCTTCTACCTATGGAAAAACAGATTTGCATTGCAGCTCTGCAGTGTGCTTCACCAGCTTGTGCCTCCACACTTGAATTCCTGGTTCTACAGCATAGAATGAATGTATATTTTCCTTCTGCTTTTCTGACAATGACCCAGGTCCTAGATGTGAGCCCTGATGCAAGGATCCAGGCTGGGATAGCAGATGGGATGGCAAAGAGTGATGGAATCCCAAAACTCTTCCCAGGAATCGGAGGCCTTGCTTTTATTTACAGCTCTCTGGAAATTTAGAGACCTTGAAGTGGGATGCTTTGGGAATGTTTGGTTAATTTTTTAAGGCCTCTAGGCTTATCAAGACTAGGCAGTTCTTTCATTTAACATAAACATCCAAAGCATTTTTGTGCAAGCGTAATTATCGATTCACACTTTTCAAATAATTTGAAATCATCACAAAAATTTCCTCTCCAAGAAACATCAGAGAAAATAACTCTTTATTTTCATACAGAAATGGAAGAATCAAAGTTTATCTGTATTCTCAGAACTGAGGTATTTATTGTTCCACAGGAGTAAAGGTGTTCTGTGCATTTCCATTCCGGTGCTGGATACCCATGGAAACACCACATCCTTCAACTACTTACTCTGAATGGAGTAAGGAAGAAGATGAGCTTGCTGAAAACATTAAGAAACTTGAGTCAGGTTTTTCTGACAGAGGAGATCTCCCCCCAGTGCACTTCTGGGGTGTCTCAGAACCACGGCTTCAGCACAGGATGTGCTTGGTACTTCGCATGATTGACCTCTTAGTCATAAAAACATATTTTACATACAAAAATACAGCAGATGTCCTTCCAAAAATCATCTCTGAAGTGTTATTCCCTCTCTTTAGGTTTTATACATTCAGGAACAGGCATTTGAGATATATTGTGAAGAGTGCAAAATACTGTTTTACATTTCTTAAACCACATGTTGCAGTACCTTTAAGTGCCAGCTGAAGGAAAGGCTGAGAAAGGTTTGATCCTCAGAGCAATTCTGGTCCAAGTCGAACTTTTGTTTAGAGAGTTGTAAACAAATGTCTTAGAATGCAGAGAATCCACTCATTTCTTTCCAGCTAAGGCAGTCTCAAACACATCAAGTCCTGCTTTGAAGTAAACCTGAGCTGAATTGATGCTGTTCAGCACCTCTGACAAGGCTGCTTGAACAGTCTCATTTGACTGATGTAGTTTGCAGTGCTCCAGTGCCTCCAGCAGTACTGAAAACTGGCTGGTCCTGTCATCCAGTCTGTAAAGAATATTTCTGAAAGAGAACAATGGAGAGAATGGCAAGATTTTCACTCAAAAACAATCCATCAGACGCCATCAAGAAACCCTGCAAGTAGCAGCCACAGCTTACAGATGATACATATTATGCACAGTAAAGCTGACCCATGGCAGATGGAGAGACAAATGCATATTTATTATGCTCTATAAACTGAATTTATTCACTGAACTACATGTACTTACATTGGAGCAGTTACTAAATCCATCAAAGAAGTCTCACATACCTCTCTGACCATTCAAGTTTTTATTCAAAACTATAAGCCTAGACCTATCACATGCCTCATGAAGGATTTTGTGTCTCAGATGAATTCCATTTATTTCCATCTAAAAAGAGTTTGGTAACTGCTCTGAACCCTCAGCACAGGTTTGGTTTTGTTTTTGTTTTTCCTATCTGCTCACATTATTTATTTCACTCTTCAGAGGTGAAATTCCAGCTGCTTTGATGCCAATGGTAAAACTCTCCTTGCCTTCAGCAGAGACTTTATTTAATCAATAATCCTTTGTGGTTTTAGAACAAGGGTAACCCATCTTTAATGTCCCATACTAGAGGAAAGAAACAGGACACACAGCTAAACCCTTGTGAAACAAAATCTGTGTTTTCCAATAATATCTGCAAAAAAAATTTAATGTTTTGTAGAAAAACAGATGCAAGAGTATTGCATGATCCCTTGAAAATGTTATTTGTATGAGGTGTGGAAGGCTTGAAATTCAAAGCAAGTCAGTGATTTTAATGGGACTCTTTGAAGCAGACTATAAATGTTATCCAAAACCAGGTGTAATCATTATACTAATTAGAAGAGCACATAAACATCATAAACCTCCACCCAGGAGCTCCTTTGATTGCAAACAGAAGTGAACAAAAATTGAAACAGGAAAGCTACAGTGATTTGGTACAGGACTTTATCCTTAAATACAGGACAGGTGTTCAGGTCAGGGGAGAAGCTGTGTGGAGAACCCAGCAAGAAACAGGACAACTCCCACTCTTTTTTAGTAACCTAATGGCACAGAACAGAACAGGCCAAATGGCAACTCCAAATTGGTAATAAAACTGCCAAGTTTATTTACAGAAGATAGATGAACACAGAAGTGCATCTTACCATTCTGTGAATCACCTAACTGCAACTCTGCCTGGGGGGAAGCTAACAAGACAGCCCAATAAATGACACCACGGAACACCCACAATATTTTCCCATGTTTTTCAGCTTTAAAAAATGTTTTGAACGAGAGGCCATTTTTTCCAAAGATACTAAATAACTCCCATCCTCATAAGGCAATTTTTCAGTCTATGTTTTTATCCCCCCCAATATTTGGTATACATCCAAACCCAGCAGTGTGCAGAAGGAATGATGAGTTTTACATCCCCTGACAGCAATACATCCAGACAATTCAAGGGGTCTGCAAAGCAATGCATTGGAGATCTAAACAGAGGAGGGAAGGGTTGGAATCCCACACTGCAGCAGGACAGTTTAAACAAGAGGTCATCACTGACATAGACCATTTAGACAGAAACACGTTGGGAGGATGTGCAAGAACAGCTCAGTGGAGACAGAAAGCCCCATCAAGAGGGAAGAAACAGGCAGATGTGGCAACAACTTCCTCACCTTGCATGCAGCAGCCTCAGGACAGCCCCCTTAGCTGAAGCTGATGCTACTGCTCCCAGCCTGGGGTGCAGCTCATACTCAGAGGTGACTCAAGTTACCTCGTGGACCGTCCCAAAGCAGCCTCTGTGGCACAGTAAATGAAAACTGTGTGTGTCAAGAGCCAGATAAATTCCTGATTCGTTGGATTTTAAGGATGGGCTCTGGTATGGGAAATGCTCTGCATTTTTCAAAGCAGGGATTGAGTTTGCTCCCTTAGTTCAGGGAGTCCTGCTGAGATCAGTGCAAACAGAACCAGGCTTTTGAAGAACTCTCCTCTATAGTTCCTGGAGTTCACAGGGAGAAAGAAGCCTGTTCACAGCCCCTCAAACACCTCCAACAGCAAGGACAGTGCTAGAGATAATCACATTTCTTTCTACCCTCAGGAGAGATCTGTTTGCTGGTGGCTGGAGTTTGACTGAGCTGGAATTCTGCTGCAAATGCCAACAACACTGGCACCCTGATCTGTGTTAGGATCCCTCTGCTCCTTTAGGTCAACTTGTAAAAACATTGTAAGACAGCAACACTGACTCACACTGCCAGAAATTACTCTAAAGAGAGGATGGTCTGAACATTGGAACATTTGGGGACTGCTGAGACAATGTTTGTGGAGAATAGGAACAGACCTCATGTCCCATCATCAAATGGCACAAGGCACACAAGCCAAAAGAGATGGTTTGCCCTGACATATAAGGGTGTTAACACAGTTTAAATCTATGCTGTGACTTCGGAATCACTGGTGATTCCACAGTAAATACATAGGCACGTGATCTGTTAAAATTTTAAAATAATAACTTCTGAAACAGTAATGTGACTTCAGAATAGCTGATTACATAGTACAACAGAACCTCATTTATATTTTTATGTATGCAAATACTAATAAGTAACATAACACAGCACCTGTTTTTTTCAACTTTTCTGCTAGGAGTTCTCACTGGGATCTTGTATTTTCCAATTACTTATCTTTGCTTGGCAAGCCATGCCACCCCTTTGTTGCATAAAATGATTTCTCTCTTTATGCATGTTCATAAGAGTCAATTTATACAAGTTTACTTCTTATCTCTGTTGAAGCTTCATCAAATGAAAAAAAATGGTCAGTTCAGTTTATTACTTCGAAGCCTTTACAAGTTAGAAAAGTGTTTTCATTAAAGATTACACACAGACTGAAAAATAAACCCCAGCCATTTCATTGACACAAGGTATCACCATGTGCCCACAACACTAAGAATGATAGCAGGAGACTTTAATTTACACTGTGAAATTCAATTACTTAAACATTCCTTAACACAAATTGGTTTTGTAGCCTACACCTCTAAAACAACAATTCCAGCCTCTGGCCTAATTGCTTAAGCATCTACCTTCATCTTTAACTATTTTATCTTATAGATGTAATTCACACCGTCAGCCTGACCCCCACAAAACAAAAAGAGACTCCTAAACAGAAAACTGCAATACATTATTGATGATGCTGATGAAATTACAACACACATCACTCATCCTAATGGGCTTGTTTCTATGACACATCCCAGTGACCTGAAAAGTGGAACACTGAGGTAGGAAACCCAATTAATAACTTCAGGCAGTACCACTGAAAGAGATAAAAGGGCTACAAACAAAACAAACAGCCTTAGCAAAGTAAAGAAACGATAAAGAGAACCTCTACTACAACTTTTCTAAGTCCTTGGCAGGCCTAGGAACACAAACATTCCTGATAAAGAAAATGCCATTAAATGCTGTTCTACATAACCACAAATAAGGAGGTACTGTCACACCCACCAGACCAGGAGGAATTTGACAAATTCTTGAATGGCAGATCACACTAGAAATATATTGACTTTAACACAACTTCAATATTAGAGCAACTGGACAGAACAAGATGAAACAAGATTAGCACATTATTCTTGTCACGAAAAACGATTTTTTAGCTTACAAGAAAATTCTGTCTGTAGGTAATGTACAACACAAGATGAATTATTCAGGCACTTACAAGCAGACTCCTATCTAACAGCCCACGTTTGAGATTTTGAAAAGTAATTATTAAATCATTAGGACAAGATGGTAAGTCTAGTGTCCCACATGAGATGAGTGCAGGTTTCTCTGCAGAATCATAGTAAAATTGTTTAGAGATAAATGCTGTGGGCAGCCTCTGTCTTTTCAAGTTATAACACAATGTGTTATGACTTCAGCATCCTCACAAACTAAATTTTGTAATTCCCTGATTTTTTTTTCTTGTAGTGTCCAAAAAAAAAAAAAAAAAAGCACACCAGAACAAGGATTCTCTGAATTTCCCTTTCGCCTGATACTGTTCAATTTTGAACACACCTTTCTTATATTTAGAAGTCTGTTTTCATTCATGTTTGTAAGACATAAAATATGATTACTTTGGTAAATAAGTAAATGCACTCTAATAGCAATATTTACATGTTGGGACTTCCAGTTCCATACAGTGGTTATTCATTGTAGGACATAAAAATATCACAAAATCTTCTCAGGAAACAGCTAAAGAAGATTTATACTGGTATATTTACAAAAGTTTGCACCTCACAAAATTTTGCAGTGAACATGCAGAAAGTTTCCTTTCTTCCTCTGGGATCCTTATCTTTTGATCTCCAAGGGTTGTTCTCCTTTCCTCTCTTCTTATTTTTTAAACCTTTTTGACACCCACATGCAGTTTTTTTTTATTTTACCAATTTTATTTCACAGCAGCATTGTGGCAGAAGGTTTAAAATTATAAAATTATAGCTGCTGGCCTTGTAAGAGTAGCTTTTATCAGGAGGAAATACATTTCCTGGTGAAGTTTCATTACATGTCATTAGAGCTGATGCAGAGGAACCTCTTTGTTTTTTTTTAATACAATGCTCATTCCCTGCTGGACTGAACGCTGAAGTTGCTGGGGCCATGGGATGGAACAACCCAAATGGCCAGGGAAGATGAGGATGTGGCACCCAACCTCTCAGGGCAGCTCAGCTGTAAATGAAACTTCTCCTTCACTGCCCTAAGTCCCCACAAACCCAGCATATCATTTTTAAGGATCTTCTGTTTGTAATTAGTTATTTCTAACTCTTGTTTCCTTCACATCCTCTCCTTTGTTAAAGAGCCATCAATTGCCTTCCCTTAGAGCTCAGATTTACAGGCTGCAAATGGTTCTACCACTGTATATTCCAGAAAGTGATGGATTTAAAATCATGTACACTCAGAGGTGAGTGTCTGCCTGAAAGGGATGTATCTGCATGTTATCAGCAGCTGATAAGCTGCAGGTAATCGAGATATCAAACCCAAATAAAGTCTAACCAACTGAAAGGCATTTCAAAGGCATCTTGTGTAACAGTGGTAAGCCAGA